CAATCTTAGCATGGGAGGGTCACTTAAAATTACTGTCCCTTTTAAATTATTTTTGATTTATTCTTTCATTTGCATTTTAATCTTTCACTTGCATTTCATTCTTTCACTTGCATCTCATTGTCACTCTGAACCCTTTCAAATACTTCAAAATATGAATTCTGCAATATCTAAAGTTTTAAATATAGAGATACCCACAGAGGATGAGACTTCAAAGACGATTGTACAGATTTTATTTTAGCCATTTCCTTGCATTCAGCGTTCTTTGTTATAGGTACTTAAAGGGATAGTAAAGGAAAATTAAAAAGGGGTATAGGCTGAAACCTGAGAATTTCAGGAGTTGATCGAGACCTATAAGACATCTATCTGATGTCCCTGTCTCGAGAAATTGACATAAAACTGTGTTAAAATTACACCAAAATTTCATTCTTTCACTTGCATCTCATTGTCACTCTGAACCCTTTCAAATACTTCAAAATATGAATTCTGCAATATCTAAAGTTTTAAATATAGAGTTACCCACAGAGGATGAGACTTCAAAGACGATTGTACAGATTTTATTTTAGCCATTTCCTTGCATTCAGCGTTCTTTGTCATAGGTACTTAAAGGGACTGTAAAGGAAAATTAAAAAGGGGTATAGGCTGAAACCTGAGAATTTCAGAAGTTGATCGAGACCTATAAGACATCTATCTGATGTTCCTGTCTCGAGAAATTGACATAAAACTGTGTTAAAATTACACCAAAACGTATATATATGTAAGATATACGTCTGTATCACGTGACCAGAACTCCCTCTAATAGCAATGCAGTATACTGGTCACGTGATACAGACGGTGACACGTGACAATAATACTGCACTGCCATTGGTTGGAGTTCTGGTCCCATGATCTGGATGTGTAAATAATATTATTAATTGTATCTAATACAAATTATTAAATTAAAATATTAATAGGCGCAAACCAAAGTTTCTCAGGCTCCTCTGGGATATTGTCGTTTTCAGATTGGTTCCGTATTTCTTGAATATGATTTGTTTAATACTACGAATCTTATACAAAATCTCACATAAACATGGGAATTCAGTGACGAATTCGATATCGTCTTTTTTATGAATTAGCATTGTAATACCTAATGTCAAGAGCCATAATATTATTATGTCTGCTAGAGTTTATTTTATGAAAACGGTAAATGTCTGTAAAGATGTCTCCGCATGATGAACAGTGAAGACGGACAAGTTTACTCTGTTTGTATCTGTAATTTTCTTGTTTTACTAAGTACAACCCTATGTAGTTAAAAAATAAACAAAAAACTGTAAACGTTGTAGACAAAATCTTACGGATTACAGCTTTCTCAGTAGGTGTCACTATAATAAAACAAAGAATTATTTAAAAAGACTATATTGAATTCGTCACTGAATTCCCATGTTTATTGGGACACCCTGTTTAAGCGTTTTGGTAAATTTTTGACACAGTTTTATATCATTTTCTCGAGGAAGAAACATCAGATAGAACTTTTATAGGTCTCAATCAACTCCTGAGATTCTCAGGTTTCAGCCTATACCCCCTTTCATTTTTCCTTAACAGTCCCTTTAATCACTTAGTAAACTATCAAAAAGCAAGCTTGAAATTGTCATATTTTTTAGAGTTTTGTGTTGTCTTTACAGTCTCATCCTTTGTGGATAACCCTGTATCTCAATAAAACAGATTAAGTAGACCACATTTTAAATTGCCGTTTGTATTAAAGACAATTTATTGCTTTGTTTTTATATTGTTTTTACATTATTGTTTGATTTTGATATTGCTTTTTTTTAATGATTATTAAATAAATATCTAGAATTTCTACAATATTATCTATTACAAGGTAGATACATCACGTTCATTATGATAAGGTGTGATGATTTGAATTTAAGTTTGATGGAACAGTTTATCCCAGATACTAAACCAGTTCTCTACTTAGTAAGTATATTGGTACTATAAACACCAATATTAACCTGTAGATCATATAGTCACCTGTAATGGACTAAACACCAATATTAACCTGTAGATCATATAGTCACCTGTAATAGACTAAACACCAATATTAACCTGTAGATCATATAGTCACCTAAACACAGTGTACAGTACGCTGTGTAAACATTACGTACTGTACACTGTGTAAACAGTACGTACTGTATGCTGTGTAAACAGTACGTACTGTTTGCTGTGTAAACAGTACGTACTGTTTGCTTTGTTAACAGTACTTACTGTACGCTGTGTAAACAGTATGTACTGTAGGCTGTGTAAACAGTATGTACTATACACTGTGTAAACAGTACGTACTGTACGCTGTGTAAACAGTATGTACGTACGCTGTTTAAGCTGTACATACTGTACGCTGTGTAAACAGTACGTACTGTACGATGTGTAAACAGTACATACTGTATGCTGTGTAAGCAGTATGAACTGTACGCTGTATAAACAGTACGTAATGTAAGCTGTGTAAACAGTATGCACTGTCCGGCTATGTAAACAGTATGCACTATACGCTGTGTAAACAGTACTTACTGTACTCTGTGAAAACAGTAAGTACTGTACGCTGTGTAAACAGTACGTACTGTACGCTGTGTAAATAGTACGTATCTGTTCGATGTGTGAACAGTACATGTAGTATGTATGTATGGTGTGTAAACCATACGTACTAAACGATGTGTAAACAGTACAATACAGTTTATTTGCATTGGTACGGTACAAGCTTTGAAACATTATTTTGGTTTGTGAACGCAAGATGGAATTGAAGTGAAACTTGTTTATGCATGATACACTACTATACTAATCGAAAATAAAGTTTTTAAAAAAATATGTTTTTTAAGAAAACTGAGACCACTATGTAACTGAAATCTAAAGTTTTAAATTACTATTGCAAAGCAATCAAGTTTAAAAGTTTTTTAATATTGCTAACAGCAAACATCTCTTTTATTTACATAGGATAAGAAAGACTTCAAACTGCTTGACTTTTGGACCAAACGTTGGAAAATGCACTTTAGGGACAGTTCACAAATCTCTTCGCATACACAACTTGGGATTAAACGGGTTATTTACAGATATACCCATGATACCCCAAATTTTAGAATAACAAGCAAATGTAAATTCATCCTTCATAAAAAGCTGTTTTTTGGTATGCAACCATTTTACTTAAATGCCGCTTATTTGAAAAATGTCCTTTACTAATAGAAAAACTAGAATTCATGTAATTAAGAATCTATTTTAGAAAGTCACAGGAAAAAAAGTTTATGGAAAAAAAAACTTTGATTAAAAAGTTTCAATTTTCTAAAGTCCGTGGACAAAATGTTAATGCAAATACAGTCCTCAGTTTTAGATTCCTGGGACTTTTTTTTGTGAAAATGATAAGGGGGCTGCCAATCAAGTATCAGGAAATAAGATCACAGGAATTAAAGTCCTGAAGAAAAAAGTCCCATGTCTTGAGAAAATGAGGTCAAGTCTTAAAGGTTTTCATAAAAAAAAACTTTTTACAAAAACTAGGCTAACAGGGGTGCTTCACGCCCCTCTCTCTGTTGAAACCGTATATTTTAAATGCAAGACTTATTTTGTATGTTGAAAATGATAAAAAAAATTGGCGGATTCACTGTTTTCTTTACTGGATTCTAAAACTATTTCATCAATTTAACTTCTCAGAACTTCCAAAACAGGCCTCCAAGCAGTAATGTAGAATTGTAGAACTGTCCATGTGTTCCCCTAGTGAGACATGTTGGTGTAATAAAAGGAACCCTCAGCTAGCCCTAACAGCTGCAGATACTACCCTAAATTACATTCAGGAAATATATATTTGGCAGTGGCACCATTTTCCAAACTTTGCCTAACATTTTCCAATTAATATTTTGATTATTAATTTTTGACTGTACGCTTGTTACTAAATTTACTTTTACCCGTTACCTATAAAGAGATGTCAGCAACATTACCAAAGGCTTTTTTTCCGAGTGGCAACTTACCTAATGTGAAATTTCCCAAGTGGCAACTTCCCTAATGTGAAATTTCCCAAGTGGCAACTTCCCAAATGTGAAATTTTCCAAGCCGCGACTTCCCAAGTCTGCCCTAGCCGCAGCGCTCGGCCCGTTTGCAGCCTTGCAGTTGTCACTTGGGATATTGCACATTTGGGAAGTCTTGGGAAAGTGTCACTTGGGAAGTGACCATTGGGAAAATGCCTTGGCAAAAATACCTAATAACTAACCAAGAGCGTAGGAACCTTGCCAATCCGCAGAGATGCATTATTACACTCAGATTGTTATTTAAATGTAATTATCCGCTCAGATATAACAACCTATATTTGCCGAATTCAATTTCATTCATTCGTATAAAGTTGATACTTTATTATATTTTTTAGATACGATTTACCAAGGATGTAAGGCAAGGAAAGTCATTTCAGAAGTGTACACATCTTTAGTACTGCAGTAATGCTTTTAACCTCCTCGGATACTAAACGAACACTGATGCATCTATTATTGTTTACAAATTCCGCCCAGAGAGAACTGGTTTCAATATGCACACAGAGTATACACAACCGCAATTGCCTTTCCTTGCCTTACATTCTTGCGATGTACTATATCTAAACAACGATGATTTTGCCGTTAGGTGTCTCTCTCTCAATGTTTTCGGGATTTCACTTGTGACTGGGAGATTCACCTTGCGACCAAATAATCGTCTGTTTAAAGTATATCGTGTACAAAAAAAGAAAAACATATTATATTATCATAAACAATCTTTAAAACAAAAATTTCAAAACTGTGTTTATTCAATTTTTAAAATTTCACAATATCTAATATTAAATTTTATAAATCAGAAACGTGTAAAATATAAAATTTACACCAGAAACTGGAAAAAGAATTCGAGGAAAAGATTTCACAAAAGGAAAACTAAAAATGTCAATTTTAACAAAATATTGATTTTAATTATATAATATATCTAAATATTTTCATGCAGTTTTTATTTCTAACAACATTTTAGTTTGTAAATGTAGAGTGAAGTTCTATTGTGCAGAGGAAAAACTTGTGTACATCTCTGTAAATACAGGTTTGGTACTCTACAACACGTACATCTGTACCACTTTGGGACATTTCATAGAAAAACATTTCATAGAAAGACATTTCATTGATAACAATGTCATAGATAAGACATTTCATAGATAAAGAGATTCCATAGATGGTTCTAATAAACTCAATGTAAAGATACGGCTGGTTCTAATGTACTCTATATACAGATACTGCTGGTTCTTTAATGTCTCTATGTATAAATACTACTGGTTCTAATGTACTCTATGTATAAATACTACTGGTTCTAATGTACTCCATCTATAGATACTGCTGGTTCTAATGAACTCAATATAAAGATACTGCTGGTTCTAATGAACTCTATCTATAGATACTGCTGGTTCTAATGTACTCCATATATAGATACTGATACTGATGGTTATAATGTACTCTATGTATGGATACTGCTGGTTCTAATGTACTCTATGAATAAATAATACTGGTTCCAATGTACTCCATGTATAAATACTGCTAGTTCTAATGTACTCCATATATATAGATACTGATTCTGATGGTTATAATGTACTCTATGTATGGATACTGCTGGTTCTAATGTATTTTATGAATAAATAATACTGATTCCAATGTACTCCATGTATAAATACTGCTAGTTCTAATGTACTCCATATATAGATACTGATTCTGATGGTTATAATGTACTCTTTGAATAAATAACACTGGTTCTAATGCACTCCATGTATATAAACTGCTGGTTCTTATGTACTCTATGTATGGATACTGTTGGTTCTTATGTACTCTATGTATGGATACTGCTGGTTCTAATTTACTCTATCTATAGATACTGCTGGTTCAAATGTTCTCCATGAATAGATACTGCTGGTTCTAATGTACTACATATATAGATACTACTGGTTCTAATGTACTCCATATAAAATTACTACTGGTTCTAATATACTTCATATATAAATACTGCTGGTTCTAATGCACTCCACGTAGTGATACTACTTGTTCTAATGGACTATCTATATATATATATATATATCTATATATATTGCTGGTTCTAATGTACTCCATGTATATGTAGATATCACTGGTTCTAATGTACTCCATCTATATATACTGCTGGTTCTAATGTACTCCATCTATATATACTGCTGGTTCTAATGTACTCCATCTATATATACTGCTGGTTCTAATGTACTCCATCTATATATACTGCTGGTTCTAATGTACTCCATCTATATATACTGCTGGTTCTAATGTACTCCATGGATTTAATTTATTAATTATTTTTTTTCAGACCAGGCTTGGAAAATGCTGAAAAGGTAATATTTCTTCAAATTACAAATTGATTAATTATTCTTTAGTTTGAACAAAAAATTCTTTGGATTAAAAATAAATAATTAAGTTGTTTCAAAAACGGACTGAAAAGAAATATTAAAAAAAAACTACATTTTTTGTTTTACTATTATACAATATTAGTCAAAGCTTTAAAAAAAACTTTTGGCATTATTTCATTATTGTCAGATTTCCTGGTTAGATATACAAACAGTATAGATATAAGTTACTGTGTTCATGTTACATGTTGTAATATAAAGATTAACCTTTGTAAAAGGTGTTATCAATGAGCCCGGGATGCAATAAAGCTCGTTTTATTAAGGTAAATATATCGAATACAAGGTGAAAACTATTATGAAAATTTAAACTTACAAATAATTATTAACAGTACAATATACCTTAAATAATACCATTAAACAAATATTTTTCCGGAAAATCTCTGAATCCAAATAATCGAAGAAAGACAATCCCAATCCCAAGTACATCAAAAAACAATTTCCCAAAATTAAACCTTAACAAATTCTGTCAAACTGGAAATAACTATTAATGTGCTTTGTACGCCTGATTTAAAAAATGCAGGATATTATTATTTTGCAGGATAAGTTTTTAATGGTGCATTTTCTCATGGTAGATTTGACCTCCAACCTTAGAGGTCAAAAATGTTGAGACCACGGTGTCAAATCTACTTGGAGAAATTCCACCATTTAAACTTATCCCACAAATAACATTACAATAGAAGCTTATATCTTTTTGTGACTTTGGACCTTATTTTTTACCGTGAAAGCATGTTGAAAGAAAATGATATAAAAAGAAAAAAGGGAAATATCAAATTATAATATGTTTCATGCACCAGAATACTTGGATCATTCATCAGAAGGGAATATAATGTAATTCCACCAAACTTAGAGGCACTATTTGCAACTAAGCAGAGTGTTCAAGGAAACTATAAACAGGGTGTTCAAGGAAACTATAAACAAGGTATTCAAGGAAACTATAAACAGGGTGTTCAAGGAAACTATAAACAGAGTGTTTAAGGAAACTATAAACAAGGTGTTTAAGGAAACTAAAGAGGGTTTTCAAGGAAACTGAACATGGTGTTTAAGGAAACTATAAAAAGAATGCTTAAGGAAACTAAACAGGGTTTTCAAGGAGACTTTAAATAGGGTTTTCAAGGAAACTAAACAGGGTGTTCAAGGAAACTAAACAGAGTGTTCAAGGAAACTATAAAAAGAATGCTTAAGGAAACTAAAAATGGTTTTCAAGGAAACTATAAACAGGATTTTCAAGGAAACTAAACAGGGGTTTCAAGGAAACTAAACAGGGTTATCAAGGAAACTAAACAGGGTTTTCAAGGAAACTAAACAGGGTGTTTAAGGAAACTAAACAGGGTTTTCAAGGATTTCGAGGATTACAAGTCTTGCACTTTTATTATCTACCCAAAATGTATGATAAGAGTTACTAAAAAGCGACCCGCGATCTGTTCGCAGAATCGCTTCAATTAAAGTCAATTTTCCTGTTAATCATTCACCCACGTGCTCGTTTCGTATTCTAAAAATTCCAAACAAAACAGAAAACAAAAATCATTTTAACATGAAATGAATGACATATTAAAAAGTGAATAATACAATTGTATTGCTAAATATCTTCATATAAAAGGCTGAGTGTCTGTTTGCCCTTGGTGAATTTGAGAGAGCTCTTGTTATTTTTCATAAGATAAGGTAAACAGTGAAAACTAGAAAACAAGGGCATTTTACGACTTCTTCTGTTTCCTTTTATCATGAAAGTTCAATAAAGATTGTGTAACCTGTGACAGAGCCTTCTTGAACCGATATAAACTTTCAGAGGGAGAAAGGAGAAAAATGGAAGGGAAAGAGAAAAGAAGGGCGGGAAAGAGGAAATCAAGGAAGGGAAAGGAATTACAAGTGAACAAGGAAGGGAAAGATAAAAAAGTAGGAATGAACAGGGAATACAAGGAAGGGAAAGAGAAAAATAATGATGAGTAAGAGAAAAGCTATGAAGGAATACGAGGAAGGTAAAGAGGAAGTCAATGGAAGAAACAGGAAAATTAGGATGAGTAAAAGGGAAAGAGGAAAATAACGAAGGATAAGAGGAAAGGAAGGAAAGGAAAAGAGAAAAACATGGAAGTGAAGGAGGAAAGAAAGTAAGGAAAGGGGAATATAAGGAAAGAAAAAGAAGATGAACGGAGGGAAGAGGAAAATTAGGATGAGTACGAGGGAAACAAGGAAGCAAAAAAAGGAAAAAGGAAGGGAAAGAGGAAAGCAAGGAAGGAAAAGAGGAAAAAACATGAATAGGAGAAAAGAAAGTAAGGCGCAGGGAATACAAGGAAGGGAAAGAGGAAAATAGAGAAGAGAAAGAGAAAATCAAGAAAAAGAATAAGGAAAAAAGGAAGGGAAAGAGGAAACTAAGAAAAGGAAATAGGAAAACAGGGATGCATAACAAGGAAAAAAAGGAAGAGGAGGAGGAAAACAGTTAATTAGATTCTGAGAACCATAACAATTATTTCACAAATACAATTAATTTTTTTATTTCAGAAGAACTAGTGGCGTGGATCTGAATGAAAAGGAAAAGTTAAATAATATTTTTATTTTTTAAAATTTTTTTCATTCATAAATGTTCTTTTTTTCAGGTTACCGCGGGAGTTTTTATGTGCAAAAAGGCGATTCTTAATTCTTTGAAGAATTTCCAATCCAGCTATTCTTTTTTACACTGGGCTATTAACAATGAACAAAAAAATGTCTAGTTTTCTTCAGTTTAATTTGCAATTTGCATTCATAATATACAAATACAAGACAGAACGACTGTCTAAAGTTTTAAAAGAAAAATTCTATTCCCAAAAGAATAAAATTTTTCAAATGAAAAGTTTTAAATTTACAATTGTTTGATATTTCCTCTTCACAAGATTTAATTTCTAATGAAATTTTAATTAATAAAATAATGAAACTCTATCAAACTTTTACCAAATGAAACTTTATCTGATCTGTAACTATTTTAAAAGAACAAGAAAAAAACATGCACAACTCTAAAACTATGACGTATTAAAAACACAATTTTTTTTTCAAAACAATAATTTTTCTTTTGTCTACTCACAATGTCTTTATTTGACAAATAGTGTGTATTGTTTTATTTTCTCTTATTCAACATATTTCTCTAATTATCCCCCCCCCCCCATCCTCTCCATCTCTCAGCTAAATACAAAGATATGAAGGGGGAGCAAACTTAAATCTAAATTCACTCATTAAAAGTCGATAATATTATCTTTTTATAAAAAGAAAAGTAAAGTGAAAAGTAAGAGTTTAGTTTAAATGTTTAGCGTTAAAGATATTCTCAATATATAAAGATATTTTCTCTTTGCCTTAATCCGTTTTAAAGATTTTCAAATACTTAAAGCCTAGCTCTAAACTAACTAATATTTGCTTTTAGAAAAACGAATAGTTTAATTTACAAAGTGTTTGTTTTAATCTATTGAAACTAAAAACGAAAGAACAAAACTATAGATTTATCTTAACGAATTTTCTCGTTTAAAGAGAGGTTTTTGAAATATTGTTACTAAGACGAGGGGGGGTGGGGATCATTTTCTAGATTCAATTTTTGATTTTTAATTAGAATATGCTATATTTGTCGTTTTTATTCCAAAACGATCGTTTTCAGTCCAATATAATCCTTTCATTTTTTCTTCTTAAAACTATCATACCTTAATTTCATAGTTTTCAAAACGATCGTTTCGTTTTTAGATTTTTTTTCTATCGTTAACGAAACGAACGTGTTTTAAAAAAGTCAAAACTGCCCATCCCTAACAATTCAGCTCCAATTTTTTTATATCAATATTGACCAATCACAAATATCACATGGAGTGCCGGTACAAGTTAAGTTGGACCGGCTTAACAAAACTGACACTTTTAGATTGGAGTGAGGTTTGAAGTAAGGAAGATGTATAATTTATACTTCCTGTTCTTGTTTATCCAGGATGCCTGGGAGCAAAACAATCAAAATATTTGCAGGAGTTTTCTATTCTCTGGAGATATATAATTATTTCTAGATATTTCTATACCTCCTCATATCTACTATGCTAATACATCATATTTCATTGCTTTTTGAGGTTACATTTTCAGGTTACATTTTCATGTTACATTTTCAGGTTACATTTTCAGGTTACATTTTCAGGTTACATTTTTCAGTTTACATTTTTAGGTCACATTTTTAGGTTACATTTTCAGGTTACACTTTCAGGTTACATTTTCAGGTTACATTTTCAGGTTACATTTTCAGGTTACATTTTCAGGTTACATTTTTCAGTTTACATTTTTAGGTTACATTTTTAGGTTACATTTTCAGGTTACATTTTCAGGTTACATTTTCAGGTTACATTTTTAGGTTAAATTTTTAGGTTACATTTTCAGGTTACATTTTCAGGTTACATTTTCAGGTTACATTTTTCAGGTTACATTTTCAGGTTACATTTTCAGGTTACAATTTCAGGTTACATTTTCAGGTTACATTTTGAGGTTACATTTTTCAGTTTACATTTTTAGGTTACATTTTTAGGTTAAATTTTTAGGTTACATTTTCAGGTTACATTTTCAGGTTACATTTTTCAAGTTACGTTTTGCAGAGACTTGATAGAAATTAGAAAAATACAAATCAAGTTTAACCCAACCACAATTGGAGGGGGGGGGGGCTGTATTTTTTTCGTTACATATATATAAAAAATGGCCCAACGTCTTCACTTTTTCAACTTAATAGTTGTGAACAAATTCTTCAATTCTTTTATTAGAGTAGGGTGGAGGTAGGGTTGTTAAGCGTTTTAAAAACGATCTTTTCGTTTTTACTAGAAAAAAAAACTTTTTCTAAAAAAATCATTATTAAACACATTTTTCGTTTTTTTTCTCGTTCGTTTTTAAAACAAAACGATTGTTTTTAAAAGAAGTCAAATTGATCCATCCCTAGGCGAAGAACGTTCAAACGGCTAGTCGCTCGGTGTTTTAAAAAATTGAAAATCAGTGAATAACTTTTTTATTCATTAGGCTACAGATCTAAAATAAATGAAATGGATATTTTAACACTTTTTTTCGAAATAATTTTTTTAACGTTTTAAAAGCTTTCCTTACACCTTAACCATTAAAAGTAGAGAAGTCTATCTTTTTTATAAACTAGCCTTAAAATGTTGGACAAGGACATTTTTCACCCCCCCCTTACCCCATATATATTATATATTAAACAAAAAAGGCACAATCGGTATAGGGTTAAGGAAAACACAGCTCACTTTTGGAACCTTGGCTCTAAAAGTAGATAGGGTAAAGGATGACATCTTGACACAGAAATATTGAATGTGGAGGGATTTCATGTCAAATGTTTTAAATCCGGCCAGAAAATTGAATAGTTCACTTTCATCATTAGAAAAACATTACTAGAGCCACACAATTACTTGAAAATCATTTTTACAGTCCCTTTAACCTTAACTTTTAATTGTTCTTGGTTAATTTCATTAATTCCAATCTAGAAATCTAGAAGTTTGACCAAGAAACTAGTTGAGAAGCGTACAGTGTAACTCCACAGATGGAGGGTCCATGCATACAGACAGTACAGTCCGTTGTATACTTTCTAAATAGAAAACAGCTTGCAAGCAAAGATATAAGAAATTTCAAGCATTTCTGTAGATAAATCAATATAGTTTATGACGAGTTGGGTAAACCTCATACTGGGTCCACTAGCCAGGCTGGTACGGTGTAGACTAGACCAGGACTCTTGTACTGGTTTAGATCATGTAACTTCTGAACTAATGTAAATCAAGGATAAGTTCATCATCCTTGATTTGTCAAAGCTTATAAGGGAACTGCTGTAAATCACTTAAAATGGAGGGTCACTGCAATTGGTGTTAGGTACTTTCCCAAATGGATTTCCCAAGTACATGACAATTTCCCAAGTGGAATCTTCCCAAATGTGACATTTCCCAAGCGGCATCTTCCCAAAGGTTAAATTAGGCCTTCTGAGGCGCCACAGGCTGCAATGGGACCAAGCGCTGCGGCTAGGATAGACTAGCAGGCCCAGTGCTGCGGCTAAAACATGCAAGGGGACCTAGCACTGCGGCTAGGACAAACTTAGGAAGTTTCCGCTTGGGATATTACAAAGTTTGGGAAGTCGCCACTTGGGAATTTTCCCTTGGAGAGTTCCCTCTTGGGAAAATGCCTTTGGGAAAGTCTAACATCTTGACATTATGTCAACAGTCCCTTGAATTTCCGTGACACCCAGAGCGTGACACCGTGACTAACCAGAATTAGAGACATTCGGTTTCTTCTATTTGAAATCATACGCGTTTTGGTTTATATTTTAACAATCTTTAGAGTTTAATAGGAGAAATTGTGATCGAAAGTCACAGCTTTCTGGAATATTGACAGAACCATTAAATCCACGTGGTGAGAGTATGAGGATGGGATAAATTTAACTTTGTTTCAATCTTTTTCTGGTAAAAATCTTTGCTTTTCGTTGCTGATCTTTCTACAAGACTTTCGTAAATATTAAGTAAAACATATTTTGAGGGAAACTAACTACAAACCTTCCCTGTTATACGTCAGCTACTGTCAAATATACGTCAGCTACTGTCAAATATACGTCAGCTACTGCAAATATACGTCAGCTACTGTCAAATATACGTCAGCTACTGTCAAAAATGTGTTCC